GCTTCATTTTCTTTTATGATCTGAATAAACATATGAGAAATATCAATGGGAAAATATTGAAAAGTTTAAAATACTGTAAGTTTAAAAAGATTATTCTTAGGAATATTTATAGATTGAGCAAATGTCTTCATTAATTCTACTGGTTAGGAAAGAAACTGCTATGGATAGACAGGTTACTGTGTGCCAGGCACTTTGCATTTGACATTTAACACATCATCTACTCCTCGCAACAACTATGTAACACAGACATTAGGCTTTCTCCTTCAGATGGGGATGTGGGAGCTCTCGAAGGCAGTAGACAGCTATGAGTTCACAAGAACCATGAGTTCACAAGAAGCCCATAATTCACCAAATCTAAAACTAGGGTCCTTTTCCATTATATTTTGTCTCTTTTCCTAAGGCCTTGAAATACTATCGTGAAAATAAAGGCTATCTCTTATTGAGTTCAATTTTGCCAGGTATTCTAAAGTATTTGATAGCTTTAAATTCAGTTAAGCCCATAATAACTCTATCAGGTAAGTATCATTATGATTTCTACAGAAGAAACTGTTATGTGGGGGTTGGAGGGTAGGGCTAAATGGCTGCCCACATTCGCCCACTGAGCCAGATTCACAGGTTGTTTCCAGTACTTTGGCTGTTAGCCAGTACATTGCACTGTCTTGAACTTGTGTGTTCTCAGGCAACTGCTAATCAACAGTGAAATAACTTCTCTTTGAAGAATGCCTCTGATCTGCCTAATTTGTATGTGATGATATTCCACCGAAACCTGAGAGATATTCGACTTGATGAGATCTACACAGCACTGAGAAGCGAGGCTGGTTCCAAAGCTGCCTTGGGGAGCAGAGGAGAGTTATAAGGAGGTTCTGTATTGACCCAGAGGTCCCAACCTAACTGGATATGCACGTAGGCTCTACTTCTAGAGTCTCTCCACATCTGGGATTGAGCTGGATCATTAGAGATGACTTTGGGGTTCATCAGAAGCCAGTTTTAACAACCAGAAGATAAAGCGTTCCCCTGTCACTTCTATAACCTTTTGTCACGTGTCACATGTGCTTTCTGTCTGAGGAAAAATGATAGTGTTTAGGAAACCTCTGGGCCAAATCCAAACTGCTTCCTACTTAGTATCATTATGAATACATTTGATAGTTGAAGAAATAAAAAGGTAAAGAATATTTTGTGGTATGTGAAAAGTCATAGGAAATTCCAACTTTTGCATCCATAATTCTGGTTTTACTGGAACCCAGCCACCCACATTCATTTGCCTAGGGCTTACAGCTGCTTTTGTGCTGCGGGGGGAGATAAGAACTTGTGACAGACCATATGGCCCCAAAGCCAATAGCTACAGTCTGGTCCATCACAGAGAATGTTTGCTGAACCCTGTTTAAAATATGGTTTAGAATTGGATAGACAAGGTTGCAAGTCCCTAGTCTATAGTGTGTGTGGTGTTGTTCCACTATTTAAACTCTCTAAATGTTTTCCTCATCTACGTGATACAAATAAAAATGTGCCTACTTTATAAGCTTTCAAGGACCTTTAAATGAACTGATGTGAATAAAAATACCTTAGTACAGTATTTAGAACAACAATAAAAGTTAACCAGTAACTCCAAACCAAGAACAAAAAGCATTATCTATGAAGTTTACAAGCATATTCTAAGAGCCTAACAATTACCTAGCATATAACAGATGCTCAATGAACATTAGTTGGGTGTATATAAGCCCTTTCACTTCTGTTAGGAACAGGTACACTAGAGTTAGGAGCCAATCAGAAAAGGCTCCGGAAAGATGGGCAGTGAGAAAAACAGAGTTAAGCTGGGCTTTCAGAATCTGGCTTGACGAGAAGGAAAAAGGAAAGATGTGGTAACAGGGATGAGCAGGATAAAGTCAGATATTGGTGTCATTCTTGGCTTCAGTTGTCAACTTGACACATCTGGGATGAGGGAACCTCAACTGTGGAGTTTCCTCTATGAAACTGGCCTGTTCTCATGTCTGTGAGGCATTTTCTTGATTGTTGAGTGATATGGGAGGACCCAGCCTACTGTGGGTGATGCCACCCCTGGGCAGCTGGTTGTGGGTTGTACAAAAAATCAGGTTGAGCACAGGCTGGAAGAGCAAGTCAGTAAGCAGCATTCCTCCACGGACTCTGCTTAAGCTCCTGCCTCCAGGTACCTGCCCTGAGTTCTTGCCTTGGTTTCCCTCAAGGATGAACTATGATTGGGACATGTTAACCAAATAAACTGTCTTCCTCAAGTTGGTTTTGGTCAGAGTGCTTTATTACAGCAGTAGAAAAGCAAATTAAGATAATTAGGAAATGATAAATCAGCCTAGTCTTGGGGACATTGGGAGCTACATCATGGTTTCAGAATTCCCAATGATTTAATATAAATGAAGTGATGAGGAAAGATCACTTCCATCCACTATTCCTTCCATGGGATCAATATCAGTGATTATAACTTAGAACACTGACATTAGGAGTCATCCTATGAAATCAAGGAGGACGTCATCTACAGAGGACCAACCCATGAGAAAGTATCGTCATCAGCATCTTCCAAACCACCATTCGTTGTTCAGTGTGTAGAAAACAGGCTTGGGCTTGACTGCCTTTTCAGTATGACTCTTTTAAGCATAAGATTTACAAGCATGAACAGGTTACTTTTAAAATGTAAAGAACAGAGCAATTAGACCCAGAAAAAGAAGATTAATCAAAGCATATGAAAACAACAGCCATTGCTAGGTAGTAGGTAGTAGCATATACTATAATACGTCTTGGGTATTATGTATTTATTTAGTGTTTTAAAGATCATGTTATATTGCTTCCCTAAACTTAAGGATTGATTCAGAACATCCTTTGGAATTTCAACATTATTATGCTGCACTTTATGAAAAGATGCCATTTGGCAAATGTAGTATTGAACTTACAGCTGAGGGGCATGGTAGATGATCCAGCATGGAAGAAACGAGAATCATCAAACTCTCCCTTATATCCTAGAGAAGAAAAAGAAACGCGTGTGAGCTACTTTGTGACTGATTTTTTTTTTAGCATGAGAAGAAATTGTTAAAAATATACTTTGAATAAAGCAAATGGCAAACCTACTCTTTACCACAACTGAAGCATATGCCGAAACCTCTCCTTTAACATTCATTGCTGAGGCCCGGTACTGAGCGGTATCTTCAAAGTCACATCTGTAAAGGCACATGGAAATGCATGACTGTGTGATGATAGTTCTTGTAATCACTGGTTGTTTTATCAAGAAATTCTTTACTAACACAGCAAACAGAAAATCAGTGGCTGATACGTGGTTCTTTGGGACTCATAGTGACAGGACTATCTGAGTTAGTACCTGTTGGACATTACACAGTCCAAGTTACCCAGTAAGCTTCCCACTCAGGTAAAAAGAAAACACCTATCATCCACTGTGACTTCAACCTTGGTTCATTTCAAATGTCAAAACCAAAAAAGTCAGCCAAGTTCTAAAGTTACAAAATTATACAGTGAATAGTGTATGTAAGTTGCTTTGAAGGTGAAAATGCGCAGCCAGGCATGCAACTTTGTAGCACTGAGAGTGGGGGTTTGTTGCTGTCCCCGTCTAGGAGGTGGGTTTTGGTCTGGGGGCATCAGGATAACAGGTAGGAGAAAGAAGCAGCCTCTCGCCACAGCTTCCAGCAGCCTCTCTGAGCCAAGCTGGCCTTAGAGACTAGTCTGCATTCCAGTTTTGAAACAAAAGCAACTCATCCGTACTTCAATTTTACTAGTGTTCAGGCTCTGCCTGGACTCTCTGCTCATAGTATAACCCCAAATGTGCTATTCAGGTGTTCCTTTGAGTTATAAGACAGAAATAGGAATGTCTTATAAAGATGGAATTAGGAAGAGAATGCGCTCACAGAGACGATCAGGCTGAGATTCAAGGCTAGTTATTTTATGTCTAATCACACCAGTTCCTGAGTTCGTCCTTGTTGCTCTGTGTTCAGTTTCATTTGTGATAAACTGATTTCTTGCTGAAATTAAAGATATTAAACTGTAGACAGGTAAATATAATTGCCTTTCTCAGAGTTACTCAATTTTGAAAGCAACCACAAGGTTCACTGTCGCTTCAGCTGAAGCAATGTGACTTCAGATCAGAGCTTGGTGCATGCCCCAGACTCCAGGGTTCTGTTTGAAGCCCAGTACCTCTTGGGCCTGCTATTCTACCTGGAGAGAGAGCTATAAATCTTTTGAGGCTGGGGTGACGCCAGTTTCCCTTCTACATCTCAGCACAATGGGAGTCTATTGAACAGAAAATGGTGGGAGCTTGTTGGCTGTTTTCATCCACATAACCAGGTTTGAATTTCAAAACTATCTTGGGAAACACAAAAAGATATTAGGGCTTGGAAATTCTGGTATGGGTTTCATTTTCTAATTTTGCCTGATCCCAAAACATCCCAATATCTATCCCTGCCTCATATGTACAGGTTGACCAGGCACATAGGTTTCAGTAGTCCTGGTTAGCTATAGGAAAGAGCATTATCCCCCAGTGTATTCTGCTTTCAGTGACGTCCACCCCAGTCTCCATATCCTGTGCATAAAAAGTAAAAGAACATGATGGCTGATTTTGAACTCTATAATGATACCTACAGAGAAACGACTTAAGCAACTTTATTTTCTTACTAATTTCTATGAAAAATACACATGTATATAGAAGGATAAATTAAAAGGTACATATTAATTTGTATATCATCTTTGACTAAATTCAAATGTAAGATCACTTTCAGTGCTACTGTGGGTGTGGTAGGGATTAGTCAGGCATGTTATCTTGTGGGTTTGCACCAAGAGAAGAAATGTGTACGAATAGCTTTGTGTGATTGACCTGCACTGGGAGGAGAAGGAAGGGAGAGCATCTGTGGAGTGATGGGGTGCTTCCCTGAGTGACACACGTAAGTAACACACACAAGCACTGATGTTCTCTTACTCGGTAATCTCCAGAGTGTGCATTCCATATCGACTTTCAATGATGTACTTTCCAGGGTTTGCATGGACATTTATTGGCACCTGGTTTTTATACCTGTGATTGAGAATAGAAATAAAACAAACAGACTGAAGTAATTATGAACTTCGTGATCACACGTGTGCACACACACACACACAAAAATTTTTGTTTTTGTAGGTACACCTGTAAATGAAGTTCAAAAATTCCATCTATTGAATAAATGCAAATTACAAGAGCTTAAATTCACTAGCACTACAATAAAATTTGCTAAAGTGCCTCTCCTCTTCCATAAAATTTACATGAAAAATGTGACCCATTCGCAGTATGGTACATCTCATATATACAATGTTAATGAAAATCTCCAGCTATGGAATGGTATGTAGGCTAGTGATTGCTTCTATATAAATTAGAAAAACAATGCTGCTGAAAATTAGGATAGTGGTTTCCTGAAGTGGGATACAAGGCATGAAGGAGGTGTCTTCGGTACCAATGATACTTTGTTTCTTGACGTGGATGCTGGTTACATGGGTACATACAGTTGAACAAAGATTCACCAAAACTCTGCCTTCATATGTAATATACACATCTTTGTACGCACATTGTACTTCAGTAAAAAGTATAATAAAAATTGACTGTTACTGACAGCAGAGTGGAAGGCTTTGTATTTGAGGGGGGGGTCATTGTTGGCTATCTATGTAGGATGAAAGCAAAATATTCTTCCCACTAACATTCAGGCACGTTACTTTTAAGAACAATGTCATTGTGTTGAAAGGTCATTATGCTAAAGCAACTATTCTCTGTCATAAACATGGTTCTTGCTTTCGAAGAACTTATAAACCGTGAATGGAAACTTCCAACTGTGACATTCGTGCACGCACCTCACTGCCCTCAGAAGGCAGGCCACAGAAAGGGGCTTTTTCCTGAGATACTGACTTCCATTTGAGATCCTTCCCAAGCCCACATGCTCTCAAAAGCCAGTGCTGTACTGTCACATGAGGCTTATCTATTTAAAGCATTCTTGTGCCTTTCAGGCACCCTTCTGTGTGTATAAGCAACACTAATGAAACTAATAAGCATAAATGGCTGAGGAGTCACTGTTCTCGGCATACACAATATCAGGAAGTTCAGCCCTCATGGTGACCTTATGAGATGACACTTTATCTGACCTCACATCCCAATGAAGAAATCAGAGCATGGAGAGATTCAGAAACTTGCCCTGGTCACAGAGCAGGAACAGCAGAGCTAGGATTTGAACCAAAGCTCTCTTTCTGGCTCATGTGATGATTCCATTTTCCAATTGTTCTCTACTCTAGGTAATTACATTTTATTAGTTCCTTCATCCTAACTTGACCTGCCCCCAACAGGCGCTCTCTCTCTCTCCATGTCATTGCTGCAGTCTGGATGTAGCTTGTCCTCCAAAGATTCATGTATTGGAAGGTTGGACCCCAATGTGGTAGCATTATGAGGTAGCAGAAGCTTTATCTGTAGGGCCTAGTGAAAGTAATTTGATCATTGGGGGCCTTTTGGGACTTTAATTCCAAGATAATGAGCAAGCCCGCTGTGGTTTCCATGGTAATGTACGATTTTCTCCTCTTGCACACACGCCTACCACAATACCATTTGCCATGATATGGCTGAGGGCTACTCTCATCAGAGCTGGCATCATGCTGTGGGACTTTCAGCCTCCAAAACTAAGAGCTAAATCTGCCTTTTTGTCCATCACAAAGCCTTAGGTATTTTGATACAGAAGTGGAAAGCTAATACAGTTTCTAAGATGCGTTGTCCATTTTCTACATACCTTTTTATTCATGGGTATGTGTGTGTGGCTTAAATGTGTTCACATGTGTGTGGGTGTATGTGTACATGCATGTGGAGACCGGAGGCTGAAATTCGTAATCTTCCTTGTTTGTTCGTCAACCATAGTCCTTAAGGCAGAGTCTCTGAATCAAACCCAGAGCAGGCCAATATGGCCAATCCAGCTAGCAAGCCTGCTCTGGGGATCCCATATCTCTGACTTCAGAGGCTGGAATTACAGGTGAGCCACCATACCCACCTGACATTTACATGGGTTCTGGGGATCTGAACCCTGGTCCCCCTGCTTTCACCCTACCTGCTACACAGGGAATTTATTTATTTATTTATTTATTTATTTATTTATTTATTTATTTATATTTTTTAATTTTTTTGGGGACAGGGTCTCCCTGTATCCCCACCTGGCCTGGAGCTTACTATGTAGAACAGACTAACCTTGATCTCACAGAGATCCCCCTGCCTCTGACCGCGAGTGCTAGGATTAAAGGCTTGGGCCAACACACTGACCTGCTGCACATTTTTTAATGCATCATTTTGCTTATCCACCTGGCAAAGTCGCAACTCAGCCATCAAGATTCAGATCAAATTCCATGCCTTTCACAAACCCTCCTTAAAAGTCTCACAAAATAGGGGCTTGAGAGATGGCTCAGTGGTTAAGAGCACTGGTTGCTCTTTCAGAGGGCCCAGGTTCAATTCCCAACACCCACATGGAGGCTAACAACCTCCAGTTCCAGGGAAATCCCATATCCTCTTCTGACGTCCATGGGCATTGCACGACATGGGTGCACTTACATACGTGCAGGCAACATATTCAAGCACATTGAAAAAAAAAGTCTCACAAAACATAAACTGTTCAAACAGGGAAGGAGAAAACCAATTTCCAGAAGTTATCCCCTGACCTCCACACATATGCTGTGGCTTACAAACATTCACACACAATAAATAAATGTAATTTAAAATTTGTGGTTGAGCCTGTGTCCTGGTTCCAGCACCTTCCCTGGGTAAGTCCAGCATGGTCCAAGCGCACCTTGACTCCCCCAGCCTCTTTCACCCTCCCAACTCCCCCCGGCCGAGTCTCTCCTCCTAGGCTGGGTACAGGCCCATTTCTTGTCTTGGCATGCCTGACAGCTGGGCCAACCTCTCGGCCCAGAGCCACCACTGCTTCCTAATCCTCTACATCCGGACTAACCCAGTTCCTCCCTACCATCCCCAGGAGCCCTCTGGACCTGGTCCTTCCCTCACCTCCCTTTACTTCCATGGGCTGCACAGCCTCTGGGCAGCCTGGTGCCAGCATCTTCCCTGGTCCCCAGGAGACCTCTGGACCAGGTCCCAACCTCATATCACTTTGCTTCCTGGGCTACGCAGTCTCCAGTGTCCTGGTACCAGCACCTTCCCTGGGTTAGTCCAGCACACCCAGCACACCTTGACTCCCCCAGGCTCTTTCACCCTCCCAGCTCCCCCACCGAGTCTCTCCTCCTAGGCTAGGTACAGGCCCATTTCTTGTCTTGGCACCTCAGACACCAGGGCCAACCTCTCAGCCCAGAGCCGCCACTGATTCTGATCCTTTACATAGGGACCAACCCATTTCCTCCCTGTGGCCCCCAGGAAACCTGTAGGCCTGGTCCCGCCCTAACCTCCCTTTACTTCCCTGGGTGGCACAGCCACCAGCTTCCTGAGACCAGCATCTATTCTTGGCACTTCTCCCAGGCCAGCCCAGGCCCCAAATTCTTGAGGACAGCATCTTTCCTGGAGGGACCCATACCTTAGGAGAAAGCCTGATATCATCTGAGCCTCATCTCACTTGGGCCTCTGTGGGAACTCCTAAAGACAAAAGCAATTAGGCCACTCCAATATAAAATCAAGAGAGAGAACCTGAAGCCTAGGGCAACCAGCTTTTCATGCCCAACAAGTAAACCACAAAGGCACATAAAGTTTACAAAAAGATCAGAGATCAACAAAACCCAAATCCAACAGACAAGAAGAAATAACAAAAATCAGGGCAGAAATTAATGAAATTGAAACAGAGAAAACTAATAATATGAAAAACCAAAATAATATATCCCCACCAAGTACTAATAGTTCTCTACAGGAGTACAATGAGAACTCCCTAGAGATAACACAGGATATGGAATTCAAAAGAACAACTATAAACAAAATGAAAGATTTCAGTAAATT